CCCCCCCCCCCCCTCCGGTTCGCTGATAAAATCGTATCGTCGAAAGTGAACGTGGTACTCCACAAAAATTATAGATGAGAAGAAAAACTATTTTTCGACATTGTTGATAAATAAATTTACATTATGATAATCATATATATATAATAAATACACACATATGCATAATATTATCTTTATCTGCAATTCGTGGCTGTAGCATCATAATGTAAATTTATTTATCAACAATATCGAAAAATAGTTTTTTCTTCACGTCTATAATTTGTGGTGTACCACGTCCACTTTCGACGATACGATTTTATCGGCGGGACGGGAGTGTCTCGAAAATGGACGTGGTACGTAATTCCCAAAGCTCGAAAATGGATGTTGGTGTCGCTAGTGTACGGGGAGTCGGGGAGTTAGAATGTTAGAAACATTACAGGAAAATGGCCGGGGTGGCCGCTCTCAGGTTTCTCTCTGTTGTAACTGATTTGAACTTTAATTTTACATCAAAAAAGCACGCCAATTGGAAATTAACCGAAGTTAAAACGCTGTATTTGCTCTCAGGATTTAAACGCTCAGTGACTTTCAACCGACAGTTGATTTGCTGGGTAAGATATATGTATTTAGATTTTGTAGGTTATAAAACGTCATATTTCACCTAAACAGTGTACATTAGGTTACAAATTATTCTCTTAATATTTGATACAGAATAAGATATTAAAGATTAAAACCCACTGTCCACAAAAACTATGGATGTAATACTTTATTGTTTGATTCTCTTGACAATTCTTAGATTATCACTCATGAAATTAGATCATGTCATTGTAAAGACAGCTAACAATGTTATTAACATTGTCAGGTAACAGTTATCAGTATTTTCCAGCTAATAGGATTATGATTTTAGAGCAAATTCCCATTCACTGTGTCTTCTTTTTAAGCTTTGTTTCTTTCATTAAAACCTGTCAACCATAGGTGTGATTTCATTAATGTAAGATTAACTTTAACCTCGGTTTAATTTACTCTTTTTTTTATTCTAAGACTTAGTTCCACTAGTGTAAGATTAATCTTGACTTAATTTATTTCTAATTTTTATATTTAAAAAAAAAAGAGTAAATTGAACCAAGAATAAAGTTAATTTTACATTGATAGAATCAAGCCTTAATATAACAAAAATGCAACAGGATTGGAGCATATCTTATCATTGTAATGCGTGAAAAAAAATTCTAATGCAGAAATAAAAAACAGATCTATTCCATTATAATGTAAGACTTACTTGTTTTATGTGATTTCCAATATTAGAAAAACAGCAGACTCTACTCAGCTATTACTAAAGGTTTACTAACATAATATACAACACACAGTTTGTAATATATGCTCTTGACAAGATTCTTTGGCTATCTGAATAGAAAACTTAAAAGTATTATATTGTAGATTTTTTATGTATTTAAGAGTATACTGTATATTGCAAAAAGAAATAAGAATATAATATTTCACAAGGCTTGAGCATGGAGCAACTGCAGACAGCATTGACCGCTATCAAGGTGCTCCGTTCCAACGTTGGACAAGTGTTTGATTCCCTTGGAAATGGCTTACGGGCAGAGCATGGAGAGGAGAATAAAGAATCCAAGTATTTGTTCGAGTTACAGGAACTGTTGACCACTGTGAATGTTAATTTGAGGTAATTTGATAGCGTTTGAGATCAGGTTTTAAAATTGGAAAGAGTAAGGACACTAAGAGTCAGACGCAGAAGACGTCGCACAAATAATACACTTATAAAGAGTGAAACTTCTTTATTCACTAAATGCGCTTACATGTTTCAGCTCACTTTTTGAGCCTTCCTCAGAGCAAACACAAACTAACATATATAAACTAAAAGTTATCCTGTTATGGTGAACTCATAAGAATGTAAATAACAGGATTACTTTTAATTTATATATGTTAGTTTGTGTTTGCTCTGAGGAAGGCTCAAAAAGTGAGCTAAAAGTGCGTTTAGTGAATAAAGAAGTTTCACTCTTTACAAGTGTATTATTTGCGCGACGTCTTCTGCGCCTGATTCCTAGTGCCCTTACTCTTTCCAATTCTTTGTAAGGAGTCTTGATTAGTTTGATTTATTAACGTATCAGGTTTTAGCTTTATATAGGATATCGTAAGGAACAAATTAATTTTTGTCATTTTAAAACTTTACAGAGACGTAGAACAGGCAATAAGTTGTTTAAATCCTCCACCAGGTCCGTTTAATTTAGCTAGCACGACTTACCTTAGTCAGGAGACTACGCAAGAAAGGCAGGCGTTGTATAGCACACTCGTTAACAGTTACAAATGGACAGATAAGATTCACGAATATAGTAACGTTGCTCAATCCTTGCTCAGCCAAAACTCGCTAAAGAGATCTTACACAAGTTCAAGTAGAACAAAAAGAGGAAGATACCAAACCAGCAATCATAATGTACCTCAGGCGTAAGCTATTGTGATTAATTCTCACAATGCATAATTAATGATAACCGTAAAAATAGAGACTATAAAGGAATCTGGCCACAAGATAATTAACTTTTGATTGGTCGTTATATATATATCTTTCTTGTATATATTTTCTCTCCTATTTTAACAAAATTGTGGTCAGATTCTATTACAAAGCCTTTAGGAAAAATAACGTTGTGGACTTTAATCGATTTTAAAATGTACAGGCAAGTTGATTCTATGATATCAACATTTGATCGACTATTCAACGATATGACGGTATCCGTGTCTCGTCCATTTGCATCGAATGCAGTGTTACATGTTACACTGGGACATGTCTTAAAAGCAGTGATAGCGTTTAAGGGGTTGATGATCGAGCGGGTGGTAGTCAAGGGTTATGGTGAAACGATGGACCTTTGGACGGAGTCTAGACATAAAGTCTTCCGTAAAGTAACGGAAAACGCGCATGCCGCGATGTTGCACTTCTATTCGCCTACGTTACCCGAGTTAGCAGTGCGATCATTTATGGTAATTAATAATTATTAATAATTGTATACTTGTACATTGTAAAGTAAATATACGGAATGATATAATCATCAGCATTAATGAACAGCAGTCTAATCGAAAATAATTTTGTGTATTTACTGACTGAGATCCAATTCACGCTCACAAATTGTGAGCATTAATTGTCCTCATTAACATTTAATAAACAAAGAAGAATTGATTCTTAAGCTTTAAGATAATAAGCGGCCAATAATAGTATTAATGAAACGAATAACATTTTATGACAAAAGCATGGCTATTTGTTTTATTAATACTGTTATTGAAAATTAACAAGATTATTTTTAATTAGACTGCTGTTGGCTAATGCTATTAATACAACATTATTTTTATCCATATACTATTAAATCTAGATTAAATTAGATACGATCTTATCATCCATTAACTAAGGATTCCAAATGCGCGGTATATACGATTGTTATCACGTTTTCTTTTATTTTCAGACATGGTTTCATAGTTTAATCAATTTATTCAGCGAACCGTGCAAACGCTGCGGCTTGTATTTGCACAGTGCGCTTCCGCCGACTTGGAGAGACTTCCGAACTTTGGAGCCTTATCATCAGGAGTGCAAACCATAAGATACAAGTTTCTCGAAACTTGTGTTTTAAATAAGTAATCAATCTTCGCAGGTACACTTCATCGATAATGTACAGTAATAAAGCGTAATGACATTTGATACTTATATTTTTCGTGAATGCATTTATTAGTTGGAATATTGTATTGTATATATATTAAAATGATATAGAATTGTGAATAAAATACTTTTCTCTATTTTTTTCAACACGTCGCATACTAATTAATCTCGCGATATTATAATAATCTTCTGTTTTTTTTTTGTTTTTTTGTTAGGGGATGGTGACGAGGCAAGTAAAACATTTTCACAGAGAATGTAAGGGCTTTTATAAAAAGAATTCAATTACATAACACTTAATAAATGCAAATCGCACAAAACATCGCGCGTTCTATGAGAGAAAAATTGTAAAGTATCAGACGGTACATTAATTCGAAACAACATACGTCGTATCACGCGGCACTGCCGATCGCGCTCAAGATAGAAAGCTGATTAAATGTACGACTAGATTTCTCGTTAGACCTGTTAATAGTGACGTTTTGAATTCCAACGAACTTATAATATTACACAGTAAAAATAGACGCCCCCTTTTTTTCCCCATTGTAGAAGCGAGATGACGAAAGGAAAGTATAATCGAACTTGATTATCGTTCAGCGGAGAGAATTGATGTTTAGTGCTAACTTTTAATATCGTAATATACAAATGAGCGGGCGCGTAAACGTTTTTTTTTTCCTTGGAATAGCTCTGCGATCAATGTGTATTTTTTTTTATTCCTTGTTACCTATATCTACGTATGTATACACTCTTAGTGTCGTTATATGCTATTTAGTTTTACATAATGCTAATTAGTATCATATGTAAATATAATTACGTTGTATTATAATATACTTTTCACATAACTGTACACATTCACATCTTGGAATATTGGCGCTCTCCTAAGGGGCGCAAGTCGTTTGAGTGGCAGTGAACTTATTTTACAAATCGTTATTGTAATCACTTATTTTGTTGGACTGTTCGAAATTTCTCGTTTTACCTTACTTTTTTTCTCTCTTTTGTTTCGTTTTGTTAAAGGCTAATGTTGTAATGCTCAATGAGTTTTAATAATGTATCATTGACTCTCGAAACCATTGATGCGATCATTGCTTATCTTCTTATCAAAGTTGTGATGAGTGCGAAATACATTATTATAGGTCTTCGCGTTTAAAAAGTAGTCGTCTTTATAGTATATGCATATATGTATATATGTATACGTTATTACAATCTTTTTAGAAACGAATTATTTGTTTATAGTATTATACGTGGGTGTCAATTACAGACAAGTGAATTCATTCAATTCTTTTCGCTGGTAAGAAGGGCTAAGAAAGACCTTTCCGCTGACGGCTTTCTCTCGAAACGAAAGTAATGCAGTGCTACGTACGCGCGCAGACGGAAAGCGCCTTTCTTAACTCGCACATCTCGCGTTGATTTTTATATATATTATATATATACGGCATACTGCATTTCGAGGGTAAAAATTGCCGCGCGTGTAAATGATATATTGTTTTTGGTGCCAATGTGATCTGTCTTTTGTGAACACATATCGCAGCATGCCTTTTCTCGGTGAGGTGGTGATCGAAAGAAGAGGTTGTCGCAAAACAAAAATGGATCGAATAGTTTTACGGCTACGTAAGAATACCGAACGCGCTCTCGAAATTTTGTTTATTATTTAGCAGCTATAACGCAAAGATTCGCGTCGGGTTCGAGGATCTTCGAGACTCGATTCGACCGGTTCGAATTAATTATCTCCTGGATACATGTTTGATACTCAAACAGAATAACACATCACAATAATGTTAAAATGACATTAAATCGTGACTGATTGAAAAGTGACTTTTAATAATTATTTTGGGGACATTTTAACGTCATTTTGATGACTTGTTCTGTTTGAGTATCAACTTGCGATGATTTCGAAATGGAGATAATGACGGTATATAATAAATTCACGGTCCACGACATAATTATCAGCCATCGCAGAGGTGAGAGAGAGGGAGAGAGAGAGTTTATATTCGCCTGTGTATCTCGGTGAAGTTTCCAATTATATTAATTAGATTGAGTGTTTACGCCGTGCTACTATCGCCTAGTAGCTATAAATAGTTTCTATATATATATATATATATATGTATATATACGTCTCTATCCTAGCTTTATCAATAATTAATATAGTATTCTGAATTCTCTGATAATACTCGTAATGCAAGGAGATCTACTTTATCGTATCTTTTTTTTTCCAATTCAATATAGCTTTATTGCCTTTCTCACTGATTCTGTATGTTTTGGACAGCTTATAATTAAAAAACTTCTTCGGTTTGCTCGTTCGATTGATATCATATAATGACGTTTTGCACAGATTCCGTCTAGATCTTGTTTTTTCCCATTCGATTAGTATCTCTATCCTAAATATTATATTGCGTTTACGTCGCAACATTCGAAACCGCAAGTTGAAACTGCTTTGAAAGGAATCACCGGAGATTTATTCCGTAGAATTGAAATTCTGATCATCGAAATCAAGCCTCTTTGACTTCTTTATTCCATTTAACATTCATATTATTCACACTTGCGATTAAATAATAATCTTTTCTTTCGTGAGCTAAAACTTAGCGACTGATACGAAATGAGGAGAAATCTTTATTTCGAATCCTGATAATTTTGTTCGAAGAATTTGTTTAACTGTATGAGTGGAATTAAGACGAATAGAATGAAATAAGAAAGATTTGAAGAGATTTTTAGATCAATTTCTAATTTCGATGATTGGTGACTCGCAAGATAAAAATAGCGCATTTCTTTCGATTTTTGCAGGATAATCCGATGGATACATCGAGCTAACGCGAGGAATCTATTTATCATCATTATTAGCGTTCGAATAATTGGATCCATTTGTCACTATCGGTAGTTGTAAAGCGAGAATAAGTCATCTTTCACTGTTCGCGGATCTAAATCCGAAGATCTACAGATTTACGAAATGTTTATGTTTTCCAAGTAGAACATAGTCATAAAAGTCATAATTAAATCGTAATGATATAATGATATATCATCATGACGTTATTTATTACTTAAAAATGAACTTGTAAGTGTCAAATAAGGTCATAATGGGAGCTTTCCAACAAGACATAGATGACACAGGGTGGCACGGTGAATCATTGCATCCTTGTTGTTCGCCAATCTTAATCACAGATGGGTTGATCACCGTGTCGCAGTGTCACTTGTTGGAAAGCCCCCGATGATGTCTTTATGATATTATTGTAACTTTTGTGTTCTACTTGAGTTCGTACTGAATTCTCATATGCGGCGTGAAGGGCTGCGTTCAGTAAAAAAAGCAGCTTTGCAATTGATGTAAAATTCTTTAATATTCTCTAATATTTTTACAGTGAATCTCACTCTTAAAGATTGAAAATTGAGCTACTCTTTCTCAAGACTCTGGTTCAATTTTTACTCTTTGTAGATTTCACTCCAAAGAATTTAGAGAGTATGATTAGTCTTCCCCTTAGTTTCTCTAAATGGATAACTGAATCACATTAAAGAATCTTACAAGTTGTAAAACTACATTGTTAAACATACTATCAATGCAACGTAAAACAACAAAAGATAGAAGCCACATGCGGGATATGATCGCCGTCGATTTCGTTGGTTCATGCTATCGCGAAAGAGAGATGGCTTCTCGAGAGAGTCACGATGCTCGATCGACGTCGGTATCTCCATTGCGATGTTTTCTTTTTTGGGATCTAGAACTGCCATGAGTCTGGTGGAGATATATGTCTGTCCTCGTTTTGTCACTCGTCGATAATGCTACTTTAGCGGGTAAACGAAGTACACTATATATTTCCGATTATACGGGATTATCATACACTTGCTGTGTGTGGTTCAGCGACGTCTCTCAAGTACGATAGAAGTATACAAGTATATACACACGTATGTACAGCACGTAGGGAGGGATCGTCGTCTCCCTCGGAGTATTCCGAAATATCGAATCGCCTGCACTCTTCCATTAAAAAGATCGATAACGGGGGTGGAAAGAGAGGAAGAAAGATCAATGACAGAATAAGAAAAGGCATGCCTCTGCGCAGACTGGCTGCTGTTATTGATTTTCCCGATTCGGCCGAGGTGTCGATTCCTGTCGCAACAAAACGCATCGGCGATCGTGGTGTCGATTGCGTATCGCAAATTCACACAGAAGTTGAAATTAAAATTCTAGATCAATTTTGAAGACCAATAAATAGAAGGACCTTAAAAAAAGAGAAGTTCCGATGGAGCTATTTCCCGCTCGTGTATTTTTCGAGGAATAATATTTCCGCATTTAGAATTTTTATTTAACCTTTCGCCGACCATGTGGAATTTTGCACCTTAATTCATTTATGTCTTTTGGCCGGTATTCATAGTCGATTCTTATTTTAAGACCATCTTAAGTAATGTCTTAAGTCGCTAATGCGGCCCTCTGATTGGTTCATGACATCTTAAGACTGTACTTAAGACGGTCTTAAATATAAGATCTGACTATGAATACCGGCCTTTGAGTTTCAATACAGATTTTTATATTGTACTCCGGACTGTATAAAAATCTGAAAAAATTCTTCCATATGAAAGCTTTAACAACGTGTTTTTACTATTATAGAAAAGTCGAATTGTATTTTACCTATTTTTTACAAATTTAAGGGCTGCCGCACTAATATAGAAAATTATACAAAAAATTGAGTTTCAGTGAAATAAGTTAATTTTTATATATTGTGCAGCTATTTCGCGGACAAAAGATGTCACAGACACAAGGATCAATAATGGCTCAATAAGCAAAAAAACATTTTGGAACATTTCAGTAATATTGTAGCAACGTTGTAACGTGTTGTTGAAATGTTCTAAAATATTTCTTGCTTATTAGGAGATAGTTTCTGAGTTATTAAAGCACGAGTTTTATACCTTTGCTACACCATGGGAGCTTTCCAACAAAAGACAGTTGACACGGTGAATCGTTGCATCCTTGTTGTTTGCCATTAATGTTAGTCAGAGATGGGGTGATCACTGTGTTGCACAGTGTCGTTTGTTGGAAAGATCCCCACAACTCAAAAACTGTCATTATTGAGGCTGTGTTCGCTTTGGCGCCCACAACGCTTTAAGCGTCGTTTCACCCTT